TTTTTTTTTTTTTTCTGAGTGCACACATCCTCCCACTTTTGAGAAATGAGACAGTCACTATGAAACTTGCCAGTGACCAACATACATAAAGTGTAATTTATCTGGAAAGACTCAGTCAAGTCATACATAAGTGGCTCAGTATGAAGCTATATAGCATAATAAATAAACTATAGTATATTCATCATCATGTTGTGTGTAAATTTAATATGCAACAGTCTACTTGTTAAACCATGACCTAAATGGTTACAATGTGACTCCCCCTCTTCACACATCCTGTTGAAGTTTAAGTTCTAGTCTGCTTTGAGTAAACAGCTTCGGCAGTTGGCCAAAGGTCAGAGAATCATCTCACCACAGTTTGTCTGTTACTGTAGAATCAGCATGTGGTTTTGACATTCAAACTGCATTTACAAGGGACATTTATCCTACATAAACAGATAGTTTTTGTCATAAATCAATAGAGGAGAATGAAAAACCCAGGTGCAGACAAACAACTCAGAGACAGCTCTCAAATAAAGTCTGGCTTAATATTAATCAAGATAGATTAAATAAACTATTTTATACTGACAAAAGCTTTGTGATGGCAGCAAGAGAAAAAACATCTTTAACAAAACCTTTGACAAGAAAACCAAAATTAAACTCAAGTAAACACATCAAACATTTTAAGATGAAGATCTGACAAATTGCAACTGAAGGTGTGTAAAGGTTGACATGTAAATGACAAATGCATMGCACGTGAACTGATTACAAAGAGAAACTGGGTGTAAAACAGAAACAAAAAAAGCAGAAAGGGATTTTTATCAAAATAAAACAGGAAGTGAAGTTCACAAAGGTAAAACATGAGATTCGTGCAAATGCTCAGCTAACCCATGTAACCACGTTGATGCAGTYAGCAACAAGCAAACTGCATTGTCAGCCATACAAAATCACTGCAACAAATATAGCTTTAAAGGGGACGTATCATGCTAAATCCATTGTTTTAGCAGTTAAATGCATTTTGTTGTGTACTTGGAGTTTCTAAGTATACAGAAAATTTGAATTTAGTCTCTCCTGGTGCTGCAAAGATATCTTTATATTTTTAACCCGTTCAGTTTTCTTTATTTTCTATGACATTTTCTGAACAATTATGCCACAGAATTTGCAACAGAACTGCCAAAAAGGTCTGGACTTAAAAACTACAATTTTATTGTTTTCATTCTCCTCTGGCTCTGAGTCAGACTCTGGATCCAACATGTAAGACTGGATGGAATAACCCTCCATAGCTGAAAACTTTTAATTAGTAAATAAAATATTTTTGCAATGCTATACAGCCGCAATCCCCTTTATGAATCTACAATACAATGCAACTAACTTTTCAACCAATCCCTTTATTTTCTTCTTTGCAACACGATCATCTTCAGACCAAATGTTCAAATGGGTAGAAAGACACCAGTAGTGTGAGACAAGACTGCAGTACCAGAATGAACAGAGGACTAGCTACTTTCTTCCTTCTTACAACTGTCTGTAAGTACAGTTTATTTCTAGCATGACCACTACACCTAGTAAAGTACAACCATACACTGTTATTGCATAAATAGTGAAAGGACACTAGATCACATTAGATAAACCTTAAAATATTGTTTATTATAATCAACAATAACATTTTGTTTGTTATTGACTAATTTCTGTTGTCTCTTTTTTCAGGCCTTATTCAGACTGCAGACATTGCAGACCAGACTTTTTTTATTTGTCTCCAAAAACTCAGTTTAAAACGTATTTACCATGTCAGAGCCTGTAGGATGTTATAAAACAATTAAAAGCATCAAATTTTATCCATCATTTAACCACAATTTTTCTTAATTTCAACTGATTAAAGGCTAGAGAAAAGAGATGCACTTTCAGTCTAGACTTAAATTAACATGCCGATTGAGAGTTTAACAGACAGAGGTAGACCATTCCACAGTCTGGATACTGTGACAGAGAAAGTTATGTCTCCTCTAGTCTTTAACCTGGCTTCAGCAGCCAACAAGTGCTGGTCGGCTGACCTCATGTCTCTGCAAGGAGTGTAGGGCTCATAGAGTTTAAACACTTAAAAATAATAAATAAATTATCAATAAAAAAATTTAACTTTACACAAAATTTGACTGGGAGACAGTAAAAGGTGCACAATACAGGGATAATAGGTTCGTCAGCAGGCTGGCTGCAGTGTTTTTAATACTTTAAAAAGGACCCAGGGAAAACCTGGTCAAACCCTAAATACAAAGAATTACAACAGTCTAAATGAGATGTTAAACATATACTAACATATCCCCCAATGCTCTATTATTTTGATAGTTAAAGCCATGCAACAAAAATATCTACTCATTCTCTTACTTTATAAACTTAACTGTTAGGCTACTGCTTTGTTCTGTCAAGAGTTGTAAGTGGACTGAGCTTTTCCCAGCTCTCACTGATGGACGACAGGTTATATCCATAAGTCACCACTCACAAAAAAATCATTACAGTTAGGAAACTAAAAAGCTCAACAACTATTAGTTACTTGGAAAAGCCTAGCTCAAGATTTGTTCACCTCAGATTTTAATGTTTGACTTTGTGAACGATTTAAGCCACACATAGCCTAGTTTTCATTTCTAAAATGTAATGTATAGGCATCACTATCATGCTCTGAAAATCTGCAGACTATTGTTTAGTTATTTTTTACAGCACTCAATGTTTAAAGCATGTCAAATACTGAATAAATTCAGCTTCAAGCTTGTTTTTAGATACATCCCATGAACAAAATAAAGTTAGCTCAATAAACTCCACAGTAAGTCTTCATACAATATTACAGAATCAGCATAAAACACTAATGGTCCTTTCAACTCTTTCAGAGATTTTATAGAAAGAGTCAGATTTGCTCACTAGTTTGTAAAACAAATGCACAGCTGTATTATCAGAACAGTTTCTGAGGGTGGGTACATTTAGCATTTCAGCCAATCAGGATGATTCTCACTTTGTAGACTTTGATGATCTTTTGACTAAAGCTTCTTTTAGATAAGCAGACGCCAAGTGAATGACACCAGTAACGTTTACCACAATGTTTGGAAGACTGAAAGCTTTGATATTTCTGCTCACAGCATGTGCGTACCACTCGAGCTTAACTGCATCTCTAGAATATACATGTTGGTTACAGTGTCACTGTAAAAGTCATTGCTCAGCAACAAATTATTGACAGATATTTACAATGTTGACTCTCTTCTCTCCTTTAGCTCTGATTCAAACAGCTGAGATTCCTCAAAAGATTAAATTGACTGTAGTTGAGGTTGGAGAAAATGTATCTTTTCGTTGTCCAGTTTCAGAAAAGGATGGGGGATTCGTTCAATGGTACAAGCAGCCTCTTGGATATATGGTTCAGCCACTTGCTACAAAATTCTTGAGCCAACAAAAACTTAGTGAGCATTTTGACAACACTCGTTTCAAAATAGCAGAAGGTACAGAGGAGTTTATTCTTACCATCAGAAATGTTACTAAGGAGGATGAAGCAACATATTTCTGTCAAAAAGGAACAGCATACCTTCTGAGTTTTGCTGCAGGATTCTACTTAGCTGTAAATGGTAAGTTCAGTTATATATTTACATTTTTTTTTCTTTTTGACATAACAGTTTTTCTCTGGCTGCAAATCAAATGTAGGCTTTACTTCAAGATAGAATTTATAACTAAACAGAATTTTAAATCATTCATTCCTTTTAATACATTTTTTATTTGTTTTTTTCTTTCTTTATTTTTTTCTGAACCAACTTTAACTTTAACTTTAACACAGACTTTGAGTCAATGTAGCCTTTTAAATAATTTATTTCTTTTAATGCTTCTCTTGTTTTTCCTGAACTAATCCAGATCATAGTGGACAAAGATCCAGCCATGTCAGTCAAACTCCCAAGACCATATCAGTCCAGGAGGGTGACAAAGTGACTTTCAATTGTTCACTTCTTTCCGAGACCAAAGAAAGCACTGAGCAGTGTTCAGGTGATAACGGAGTGTACTGGTTTAGAGTTGCAGAAGGAGAATCCCATCCAAACTTTGTTTATGCTCCGACAAAGTGTAATTATTCACACGAAAAAAAGAGCTGTGAATACAGAATGTCCAAAACTATCCAGACCTCCGAAGACATTGGGAATTACTATTGTGCTGTGGTCACATGTGGAAAGATCCTGGTTGGTCAAGGAACACAAGTAGATACAGGTATGTTTTTACCTTAAATATCCAGATAATTCAACAGAATGTATTATACAAACAACATGTTAACTGCTTTAATATAACATTTTTAGTTACTTTAGACCTATGTCATTACTGGTGAAACAATAAGAATTTGAG